TGGCTGGCGGCTCATTGGGGGCCAAGGGGTCCATCAGAAACACAGATTTAGCGAAACACAGCAGGGAAAGGAGTCTGACTAAATTCTCATTTACAAACAGAACAGAGCATTTTGGTAAGATCAGTGTTCCATCTCCACCTTCTCAGACAGGAAGGCTTCAGTTTTCTGTTTCAAAATGACTTGGTTCCATTTTTTAATAACGGAGTTATGAGTGGAACAAACATTTTGATTTCTCAGCCCAAAACCAACCCCCCCCCCGACACCCCAGCAATTGTTTTCTGGGAAATTTTGAAGAATTTCCATTCTGAAATGGACCAAACCCAAAAACTTCAAAGTCACAGAATTTCACATGGTGCCATTGGAGTACAGGGCTTGATTCTCCATTGCCCCGGCACCATGTGTAGTCACTGGCCCCTGGGCAAATTAGGTGCATCAAAAAACCCAACCTCTTCCTTGTGTAGCATTCACACAGGTGTAAATGACCATGAGGTGCAGGACAGCAAAGAATCAAGCCACTAATGCTAATGAAAAATCAAACCATTGCCTTTCTTCCAGATTGCAGACAGCTGCAAATAGCTCTCGCACACAGCATGGAAAGGGAGCTCTGGGAGCCAGATATGCTGGCAAGGTGCATCATGGAAAAATGAAGGAATCAGTGACCCTACTCTGTTCTCTCATCCCACTTTCTCCTTCCAATAATATCTGCTGTGATCTGGCTATTTGGCAGCAGAGCTGAGGAGAGCAGAAATTAGCTCACAGCATGAGAAAGGGAGTGCCTGGTGTTTATCTTGTTCAGAGGATTCTACGTGACCAAAGCTTCCTGTGGGGATAAGTTAGCCAGTCGCCATTAGCGATATGGCTTCCTGCTATGAAAGCATCTCCTTTGTCAGCTCACGGTGTCCTCTTTGTCAAGCCAGCAGCCCCCATTCACCTCTTGCTTACACCCGCTTCAACCTGCACCACTCTGGGGACATCAGCAGAGCCATTGCCAGCTTACACTGGTGCGAGTGGGGAGAGACCGGGCCCTGGGGCGCTTTCCAGAGCCCTTCATGCTTTGGCCAAGTTCTCAGGCCTTGCTTAGTAATGCCTCCCTCTTCGGGCACCTCTTCCCAGGCCCCTGGAGACAGAGCATCTGTTCTCAGATTGCTGCACTCAACCCCCTGGTCTGCCTCTTGAGACTCCAGCCCTGGCCTCAGCCATGGTCACTGGTCCCGGAGAAGCTAAGATGGTGACTCCAGGTCTGACCTCTCCATCCTTCCTCATCTCTCTTGGGGACACATGTATTATTCCTCTCAGAGCCCCCAGCAGCCCACACTGATCACATCCAACAGAGCAACCCCCCGCTGCAGCCCAGAAGCAGGAAGAACCTCTCAGTTACAAGACAGCAGTTCAGCCCCTTAGCAGAACCCTTCCAGCCATCAGAGCAGCCCAGGGTCAAACAGCAATTCTCTTAGCCCATAGGCAGCAGCTCTCCCAACTGACCCCAGAGCCAAGCCAGGCTGAGCTAGCAGGCGCTGTGGTGAGCCAGACTCACCATCTTCCTCCTGCCCCATTTCCCTGCTTTGGGGAGGAGCCTCCGTTTCCTATGACGTACTGGGGAACAAGGGGCTTAGGGAGCAGAGAGCTCTGCCCTGGCTTTGGGGAGCCAGCCAGCCCTGCCGTATGCAGCTGCACATCCATGCGATGGCTTCTTGCCACTGGGCTCCGGCCCATGCCAGCAGCACACAGAAAACCTTTAAGCCATAAAGGTCTATCAGCAGCAACAGGCCAGCCTGCAGATGGACACCTGAGCAGAGCACACACCACTCAGCTCTGAGTTTCCAGCAGCGCCCTCTCCTGCTGAGTAAAGGTGGTGGGGGGGGAACCCACTTCCTCTGTGCCCCTGCTCTTGGTGGAACACTCCCAGAGCAGGCTGAACTGAACCCAGCATGCACCCCCATGCAGCCGTGACACCCCATCCTCCCTTTAGAGCAAAGCACAAGGGGCGGTTACTGGCCTCCATCCCCTGGTAGCTATCACTGGATGAGCTGCTGTTGGCTCTCACGGATCCCCCCACCTCCCCGGCCCTGCTGCTGCCCGATGAAAGGTTGATGAGCAGGCTTGCGAGAATCATGTGCCTCGGCCAGCACAGCCCTGGCTTGCAAAGCCATGGGGAGCCGAGTGTATTATCCACAGCTCCAGCCTGAGATGACCTTGTGCTTCTGCCAGCATTTAAACAAAATATTTTAAAAAGGTGGTGGTGGGAGGGGAAGCCTTTCCTCCCTCTGTAGTCACAGGGCTTTCTTGGGGCTGCCAGCTATCTCTGAGACGGATATAGAGCACAGCCAGAGACAGTGAAATATTGCCCACATTTATTGCTTTTATTATTATGAAAGGGAGGGTCTTATTTCCAGTCTAGGGGCTTGAAAAAAAAACCTGACTCTCACCCCAAGCTCTCCTCTTCCAGCCAGCAATTAAGCTCAGCGGTATGTGACAAAGCCCATTCCCAAGCACAGAGGCTCTGTTGCTTTCTGGCTGGGGTAAACAAGGGACCTAGGCAGGGCTTTTGGATGGATTTGGAAAATGCTACACCCAACTCAGTTATCGGTGTTGCTTTAGAGTCAGCAGAGAAGTCTGGTTCTGATGGGGGCGTTGAGCAGACCGGTACAGGGCACACCATGCCTAAGGCATGTTTGCCGCTACAAACAAGCCTGGGATGCCAGTGGATGGAAAACAGCAGCAGTAAGGGTTTAAAAACCTAAGTGTTTTGGAAGGGATAAACACACCCCTGCTTTGGGACGGGCGTCAGCCTCTAGCTAATTGAGGGGCTAGGGGAAGAGACATTCCCCAGGGGCAGGTTATCCCATCACTGCTAGTGCAGGATTCTTTCCCCTTCCTCTGAGGCAGCTGGTTCTGACCCCAGGCAGAGGAGACTGGTCTAGATGGACCGGAGTCTGAGCAGGCAAAGCAATTTTAATGCTTTTTTTGGGTCCTTACCCACTGATCTTGATCTATTGACGGGCAGTAGGGGGCTGGGCTGCCCTGCTGATTTCTGGATGTGCTTCCATAGGCAGGAAAAAAGGGGGAGAGACTGCTAGTAAATATTGAGGGCAGATCCCTCCACCCCCTTAATGTGTCACAAAAAGACTAGGGCAAAAATTGGGGATCTCTAGAGCCCAGGGTCGCTGTTACCCCCAAAATACACTGCAGGGCTTCTAACCCTATTCCACGTGGCCAGCTGAGACCTCTGAATGCTGTTTGCTCTGATGTCACTGCCTCCCAACCCACCGCTGCTGTGCTACATGTCTGTTTCATCCAGCTGTTGCTTCCAGTCAGCCCTGTGGGTCACGATCTCTGGGGCAGGGACTGTCACCTTTCTAGCTTGTCTGTACTGCACCTAGCACAAGAGGGCCTGTTCCTCGATTAGGCTCCCAAGGGGCTGCAGAGTGGAAATGAACTAATGGTAATAATCAAGTCCTGGTCATGCTGGTTCGTGCATTCGCCCCACTGCTCTGAGCTGGAAAGAGCTTTTTGATCAAACCCTGCTGCTGCCAGCAGAGCTGGATTCATGCGGCAGGAGGGACAGGCAGGGCTAGAGGGTTTTGCATATCAGCCTGTTGCCTCAGCTGCCACCGCAGTAACTTATCCCCTGAGCTGAAAGTTCACCAGGCTTTAGCAGACAAATGTCACTTTTGAAAGCGACTGCCTCCCTCGCGCACCTGATTGCAGCATCTCAGAAGGGGAACCTGCTCCACGGGTTTCTTTGCTTCCTACAGCAATAATTCAGGCCGAGCACACAGCTCCCCTCCTCCCATTCTGGGCTTGGTGCAGCTCAGGGTTATTTTGTTAGACACAAAGTCCCTGATGGCTCAGTACTGCAACATCTCCTACACCCTGCCAGTCTGGTTTAATCACAGCACTGGGAATCGGATTCAAATCCGAGCAGAGCGCTCCAGGTCTCCCCGTGAAGTACAATGAGCAGAGCACTGCCTCCCAAGGAGGAGGGTCTGCTTGCCAGCAACATGCACAGATCCTTGTAGGCGATTTTCCCTGTCCTGGCATCAGACAGCGGGGCTAAGCTCACGCCATTGGAAATAGAGATTGAATCCCTTCTGCGTCGAGTGCACCACTCTTAAAGGGCAAAAATTAATAAGCAGCCAGGTAGGAAGAGTGGCAAGTGTGCAGCAGAGATGTGAAATTGGGGGGGAAATCACCACCTTTGTGCTCCCACCCACACCTTGCTGCAGAAGCATATTCCACCCACCCTCCCTGTCATGATTACTTCGTGCCATCCTGCTCATGGGGAAAACCAGGGTTAGCCCCCAGACAATGTTCTCCCAAAGCAGTCATAAGTCAAGCGACTAGATCAGCTTCACCAGTAGGAGGCAGCACAGTCCCTCCCGCAATGGCTTCTAGCATGCAGGGAGGAGAGGAAGGATGGGGAGGCTGAAGCAGCAGGTTGCCTGCCCAGTGGCGTAATCCAAGACTCATCAAAAGAGGGAGAGGAATGGGGCACACCAGGCTTACCATGGTGTGAGCAAGATCATACAGAGTGAATTATTATTTATTTTATTAATGGAGATATCCTATCTCCTAGAACTAGAAGGGACCTTGAAAGGTCATCGAGTCCAGCCCCCTGCCTTCACTAGCAGGACCAAGTACTGATTTTGCCCCAGATCCCTAAGTGTCCCCCTCAAGGATTGAACTCACAACCCTCGGTTTAGCAGGCCAATGCTCAAACCACTGAGCTATCCCTCCCCCCCCCATTGCAAGGAGACCTGACTGCCAGTCCTGCCCCAACCCTTTGCCAGTAGATCCCTCCCCCAGGGCCAGAGCTAAAGCAAGAGTCCAGATTCCTGGTTTTTAACACCAGGCCTCATTCCCCTCCCAAAGCTTAGAATAGAACCCAGGAGTCCTGACTCCCAGTCCCCCCTGCTCTACCCCACTGGACCCCAGTCCCTGAACACAATCAAGTGCCTGCACTGTGCTGATTTTTCACAGTGTATTTTCTCTTTCTACAGGTACATCGGGGCACTGGGGGCAAGGGTGATCTGCGATAACATCCCTGGATTAGTCAACAAGCAACGGCAACTCTGCCAGAGGTACCCTGATATCATGCAGTCCGTCGGGGAGGGGGCCAAAGAGTGGATCCGGGAATGCCAACATCAGTTCCGGCATCACCGCTGGAACTGCAGCACGCTGGATAGAGACCACACGGTCTTCGGGAGAGTCATGCTACGCAGTAAGTTCTGTCAGCTTTGCCTTTCCCACCCAGCCCAGGGTAACTTATCGCTCAACTCCAACCTGGATGCATTTGTCTAAGGGAGGGGAATTTGGAGAGCGGATTGAAAAATGCCAGTTATTTTTTGTAGGAAATTTTGAAGAACTCTTTTAAATAGATGTTTCCCCTCTACAATTTCTCTGGGGTTTTTGACCAAAATATGAAACTGAACAGTTTTCAAATGTTTTCCACGAAGAACCAGATTGGGTTTTTCCACCAAAACTGGATTTTGATGGAAAGACTGACTGGCTCTACTCTTCATACAGTGGCAGAGAGAAACCTGGGCATAGCCCTAAATACAGGAAGAGGGTGGACAATTTCTGTGACAGAGGAAAGGAGTATTTGCAGAGAAGATTATTAACTAGGATCTATAAAGACCTTGTGTAATGCACTGGAAGGAAAAGAAAACAATCTAGTCCCTCCCTCTAGATTTAGGAGGAGCTCTGCATTTAAGTTCTTTCATATCTGAGTCACCGAGTATCTGAAGGCGAGGCTGGAAGTTGAGAACCCACAGGGAGGGGAAAGGTTTGCTAGAGGATCTGACATTGATGTTCCGAGCCATTTGACCATTGGGTTCCTCCCCATCCAAAGGGGGGGGTGTAATCCTAGAGAGGCCACAGTCAGGCAGGCTGCACAGCGCCGCTGCATGGCACGTTGGGGAAAAAAGCAATGATGCAGCTACCCAGGAAGCCAAGGGCCCGACTGGCATTTCCACCACAGTCCATTCATAGCAGGTACAGAGAGGCTGGGTCACTTTGGACACACCTTTGCAGTTACTGTGTTTCAGAGCTGATCTCCAGCATAAGTCAGAGCAGCCTCAGGGCAGCTCTAATTTAGATGCAGCTCCCTATGGCCCAAAGGGACCAGTCCAGCAGCTAAGAATCACCAAATGCAGAAAAACCCTCTTTTCACCAGCCACAGCCCTGATGCCCCATAAACTAAGGGCATTAATGGGGAAAGGGCTATATAGCCACTGGTCAGCCCTGTGCCATCCAGAGAATCCCCCTGTGCCAATGAGTGTGTCCCAGTAGCCAGATCTGCTGGCTTCACAGCCCATTTCTTGTACCAGAGTGATGTAATGGGATCACCGTAGCACACTGGTGGCTCAGGCATAACAGACAGGGAAGAGGCGAAAGGGTGGCTGACAAAGGAAAGTGTTACTTTGCAAGCACATAGGGGGATCCCAAAGATCTGCTTTCACTGAGGATCCCTGGCTCCTTCCCTCACAACTTAACCTCACTGAAAGTCAAGGCACCCTGTGCCAGGGGGTGTCACATCCCCTGTCTGACAGTCTCAAGCCTCTTCCCTCCCAGACTCACCCCTGCAGCCTGTGGCCCCACCTCCTGTTTTAAAATCACAGCCAGTTCCCACCTCACTTGCACAGGACTCTGAGCACCCCAGAACCCTGCAGCTTGTCCTGCTGGACACCACCACCGCCGCCGGGCTCATCTTCCTAGCCCTGCTCCAGCCACTGACGCTGCCAGACCTGATGTGAACTCAGCAAGCTTCTGCCCGTTAGCAGGAAGACAGATGCCCAAATGCCCTTGGTCGGCTGACTTGATGGGAGTTGTGGTTCACACCCATCCAGGGGACAGTTGTGTCTCCAACCATGCTGTGCTAGGTTTCAGTAGCAGCCAGGGCAGGATTCTTCCCGTGTACCCAGGAAGAAATCCCCAGCAGTGCACCCGCCGCCCTGGGAAGGAGGATGGCTTTGTGCTTGAGGCATTGCACCAGGATTCAGGGCAGCTGGGTTCATTCTGGCTCTACCATCAACTCCCGGGGGGACAATGGCATTGGCACCAGATTCCGTGTGCTCAGCCTCCAAAGGGACACTTTAGTCAAAAGAGCCCAGCACCCGACATGCCACGCTTGGTGTTCCAGCAGGCACCTCCAGGGCAGTGTGGTAGGGATTGTACCTCATGGAGCAATGCCCAGCTGAAGAGTGGTTCCGACAAGGTGAAGGTATATTAACCCCCTTCTGGAGTCTGGCAGACACACCCTGTGTCCAGTGCTACTGAGACAGCTCTGTCCCCCCTCCCCACACCCCTGGGGGTACATTACACTCACACTCCCAGACCTCAGCTATACCCAGAGGCTAAAGTCCCCCCAAAAAGCAGAGCCCCAGGGCCTTCCCAGACAATATCCTCCCCCGCAGCCCCACAGTCAGCAGTGCACAGTGCAGCCAGCCCCTGATTCCCTTGCCCCCTCTATCCATCAGCTAGGTGCTCTGGTAACACCAGCAGCTCCTATTGTGCCAGCACTCAAGAATCACTTAGGAACCTCTTCTTTTCCCTTGTTTCTCCAGGGCTAGGCTGCCATGTGTGGTAGGCTGGGTTACTTCCTTCGAAGCAGGACTATTCTCTAAGCTAATCAAGCGGTAACAGGAGCCTATCGCTGCTCTGGGACAGGAGTGGGTGGGGGAAGGAGACACCTCTGAAGAACAGGCTTGTGTGTAAACAGTAATAGGATATATAAATATTTGGAGAGCAGGGCTGGCCAGGAGTCAGCTGCTCACATGGGAACTTGCTGTCTCCCTACGCGACAGGGAAGCCAAGACTGAGAGCAATTGGATCCCAGGACAACCACAGCTTTGGGTTCCAGAGGAGTGGGCCATAGGCCTGGCACTGAAGTGACACCTCCCCATTCCCCCACCCCCGATATTGGGACAAGGGGGGACAAAGGGTGCATTGTACCATAAATCAGAAGGTAATAGCCACGGGTGCAGCAGGGGGACTGCATCCTTCTCTGAAGCCTCCAGCATTAGCGGCTGAACTGGACAGACCATTATCTCACAGCACTAAAGCAGCCTAGTGCGGGCATTGCTCTGCTCTAGAGTGTGAGCCAGGGAGGAAGGTTACTGGCTACACAGACCATCCATCTGACCTAGTGCTTCTGGTCTCCACGCCCTGGCTGCAGGTAGCACCGCCAACTCTGAGCTTTCACAAATCAGACTCTGGTCCCCAAATATCATGAGATTACTTTAAAAACCAGGGGATTAAAAATAGTGAATGCTGAGGTCTGTTTGCCACCTGGCCTGTGAGCCTATAGGGGCCAGGTTTTCAAGCTAGTCTCTGCTACCAGGCACACTAGAAACTTCCCTCTAAAAAAACCAAATCAGATTCTCACATAATACCATGACTCCAGGAGTCGGGGCTTTAAGAAAAAACACCAAATCCCATGAGATGTGATGAAGTTACAAGAGTTAGGAACACCATGAGCTCAAACAGTGTGCAACAATTTGCATCCTGCATACCACAGAGACCATGCTGCACTGATCAGATACTGTAGCTCCTACCTCCATGGAAATGACAATAACCAAGGTTAGAGTGTCCACAATGCCCCCCAGCCGCCATTAGCAGTCCAAGTCCAGGGGACCCCAAAAGGCTCATTTCTTTTAGGGTAAGAGTTCCCAGCCTGTTGGGTACACTTTGCACCAGAAAGATGCAGGCATCTCCTGGGAGTAGAGGAACGTGTTTGCTAGGCAGAAGGGCAGGTTGGCACTCAGCTACTCTGAGGAAAAGGAAGAGCAAGGAGGGAGAGGGAGAGGGGTGTGGCTCAGTGGAGCCACAAAACTGCCCAACAGAGCAACAAGACCCAGCTCAGAAAAGTTTGAGCAAACAATACCAAGACTTACTTTAAATAAAGGCCACTAACAGCAATGAATACCTTTAATACTGTCAATCAAGCAGAGCTAGGCTCCTCTAGGTGACTCTTCCTCCAGCAGCCATGAAGAGCTGACTTGCAGTTGCCAGTTTTATAGAGGGCTTCCTCACCCAGAACCCTTTGCAGGGAAGGGAAGTCCCGCCCCTGTTTCTCTGGGTGATTGACACCCCATCCAGCCAATCACCTCTCTTTTCCTCACTCCTGGTTCTGCAAAACTTTCACCCCTTCACAAGGGGTTCTGACACCCAATGTTCTCTGAACGGAGTGTTTTTAGTTCATGTGTGATCAATTGTGAATGAGGCTGGAACCAGAATGATCTAGCAACAAGATAGATGATCCTGTCCTTTCCCACCCTGCCTGCCCTGCCCCCCCCAAAATACACTGGGTCACATTCAGCCACAGGGCCTGGAGGCCAAGATCAGCTGGGAAGGTGCTTTCCTTCACCCCAGATAACTCATCTGGAGAGTGTCTGAGCACCCTTGGGTAGGAGGCAGAGGCACTGGCACCCCCACTGCACATCAGGGACTGGCTAGGAGGCAAGGAGGAAGGAGCTAGCTAGACGGAGAAAGATCCCAGTGCAGGTTACTGGAGGGAAGCTGTCTGGGTGGGAGGAGACAAAGGGGGAGCACTGTCGGCTGCAGCCTGCAGGAGAGATGGGTCTGGGGAACTGCCCCAGCCCCTGACTGAGGCACACTTGCTGCTGGGTCAGTGCCTTCCTGTCCCTGCAGAGCCAAGGGCAGAGGCAGGGGTTAAACCTGTTGGAGTTATGGGCCCCCCACAATCAGATGCAACCAATGGCTTTAGGCTCCTGCTCCCCGAATATGACAGAGGCCAGAGACCTCTGGCCTTCATCCCTGCCCACCCAGACGTTCAGACTGCAAAGCCTGTGACACCTGGAACTCCCTACGCTGAGTCCAGGGGCATCCTCCATAGCCCCAGTGCCTCCCCTGGGGCCTGGCACACGACAGCCTGGTGGGTAGAGGAGTCGCCCACCCTCTGGGATGTCCCACCTCTACCCCTGACCCAGCAAACAGCGAGCAGCAGTTCCTGCCCTGGCAGCCCCGGGGACCCCCCCAGGCTGCGTAAGCTGAGGCAGCAAGTGTGCAGGAGCAGGGAGCCTACGTGGTGGCTGGAGCTGTATGTGTGACACTGGGCTGGGCACACACCCTGCCGTGCCAGGTCACCGTGCATGGGGCATTCACCCTTTCCCGGGCCCCTCTGATCACCGTCCGCAGAGCAGGCGTCCTGTCTAGGACGCCAGTCCTCTTCCTGCCTGCTACACAGCGCCAGCGGCTGGTGCTGGGGTGTGGACTGCTCGCTGCTGGCCAGCAAGGGGTTCAGAAGGCCTGTGGCCCGTCGGGTAGGGCTGGATGGACAACTCTGATGTAGAGGCCCTGGGCAGCCCGGAGCTTTGGTTCATAGGTTGAGAGCAGAGAGATTGTGACCCTGTGTCCCCGAGCCCCCACGCACCCATGTTTGTTGGGAGAGCCAGCGAGGATGGAGAGCCGACAGGAGAGCTCCCGGCTTTGGTACCTGTCCCCCAGCCCTGGCCAGGTACCCAGAGAACTCTGTTCTTTGAGGCTGTGTTTGACAGGGTCCCTCCTCAGTGAACCGCTGCATGGTTTTGATTTGCAGCTGCTTTTACAACTTATAAAACCAGCTGTGAACTCAAACCAGAACCATAGAATACCAGGTGACGTCCCGTGCTGCTTGGGGCGTCCTGCAGCCTGCCCATTCGCAGCTCCGGCAGGCTGGGATTGTAAGCGCTTCCCAGCACCGGAGGGGGAGATCAAAAGCTGGCTGCTGTCACTGCCCGAGAGGGCCTTCCCTCCCTGCTCTGGCTGCAGCCATGGGAGGAGAGGGAATGGCGGGGCAGATTGAGGTGTGAGGAGCTGGGAACTCAGCTAGAGATTTGAATATATGTACAGTCAATGTCCTGCAGAACGCCACGCTCTCCAGCCAGGGCAGGCACCCCAGGCGTGCCTGCAGAATTACCCCGAAAGGCACGACAGTTGGTGTCTTTTCTAGCTAAACCTCAATCGTCCATCCCATGTTGCCATGATACACCCCCCGCCTTCCATCAGCTCCGCTCTCTGGCCTTTGTCCCTTCCCAGTAGGGCCCAGCCCTTGTGCTTTCAGTCTGCCACCTCCAGGGCAGTTCCCCTCTCAGCACCCTAACACCCTGGGGTCTCTCCTCCATCACGCTGGCCGTGGCATCCCTCTCGGGGGCTGGACTGTGCCCCCAGGTTCTACTTCGAGCTCATGCTTCCCAAGCTCGGCTGTGTGAGGCGAGGGATCTGCCGGAGGGGGGGAGAGCTCTGTGCAGGGACCTGCTGGAACCTGGCTCTGCTTTGTTCTTCCATGGGACTCCTATCTGCCGACAGGCCGCCCCCTTTATCTCCCTGTTCCTTCTAGGGGCCTTAGACTCTCACCTCACCAGATGGCAGCTCTAGTTCAAGCACATTCCAAACAGGACCTCAAGCTCTATGTTCATCAGAGCCGCCCACCACCCATTGTCATCCCCGGGAGCTCCCTCTCTCAGAGCCCAGTTACACTGCTCCTGTGGTGCTCAGGGCCTCTGGGGAACTGTCCAGCAAAGGAGCTCTGAACAGGCTGGTGCAAGGGCTGAGTACTGACCAGCAAGGCTTCTGGATAGCCCCCGGGGGGCATCTCCCGTCTCCTCCAACTCCTCCAGCAGAGGAAAAAGTAAGCTCCATTACGCTTAGCAATGCTGACCACCGCTCGCCCAAAGCCCACCATGCAGCACCGCTGCATTGCTTTCCGGACTAGTTCACACCCACCCACCCCGTTAACAGCCTGCCCTTTGGGCCCACGTCCCCTGGTTGCTTTTTAACATGGTTACAAAATGAACGGGGGGCAGAATGATCCGCTGGAGTTCTTCAGTCAGGCCGCAGGAGGGTCTTGGGGCCTGCAGAGCACAGTGGCCTGTGGTTCAGCTATCCCAGCACGTTAGCCCACACCCAGAGTCCTTCGGAGGGGTAACGCACGGTGGTTATTTGTTTTTCAGTAGCTGCTACAGGGCCAGTAAGATAGTGGGGGGCCTTTGTGCTGGGCACTAAAAGACAGGCCCTGCCCCACAGGGCTTTCAGGAAGCATGACACGAGACAACAGGTGACTCCCACAAATGAAAAGGGTGGCGGGGGCCCAGGTAAACTGTCCTAATTACCAAGCCGCCAAGATCCCAGCCAGGCAGGGGGTGGGCTGGCATGTGATGGGCAGGCATCCTGGCAGAGCGAGCAGTGAGGGGGCTATAGGGTTGCCAACTCTCCAGGATTGTCCTGGAAACTCCAGGAATTAAAGATGAATCTTTAATTAACAATTATGTCATGTGATGAAACCTCCAGGAATACATCCAACCTAAATTGGGAACCCTAGGGGGCTAACCTGGGAGCTGTGCAGCTGTTTGTCGGGACCATGGGCGGAAGCATTACGGCACTTGAGGGAGACATGGAGGTCGGGCGATGAAGGCCAGCGCTGCCAGGCTGCCAGTTCCTCCCTCCCAGTGCAGTCGTCACCCCCTCGTTGGCAACTACCGGGCTCTGCATGGCCCCGGCCCCCGGCTCATGCCATGCATTGCTCTTGCTGGGCAGTGCGATGGGGGACGAAGCACAAGCACTGCCAGCCAGCCCCCGGGTGAGGTGCCCCACTCACGCTGTTTGGGCTCGCAAGCCAGCCGTGACCCTAGCAGTCCAAAGCCGGGCTAGTGCCAGGTCAGCTCCAGGCCCTAGTGCCCAAGCATGGCCGTGAGGCAGACAGGGCAGGCGTGAGCAGCGCCAGCCAGCTTCCTCTGAGCTAGGCTGCCTCGTGCGGTGGGAAGATGGAGGCCGAGCAGTGCCCACCTGGCTGTGGGATGAGCAGACGGGCGGAGTTGGGAGGAACTGGTGGCCCCCAGCCCTGTGAGTCTGTTTAGCCGGGTTCAGTTGAGGCCCTGCCTTTTCCCAGCCGGAGTCCCCGGCCTGTGGCCTTGGCCGCTTTGACGCCCGTGGTCTCAGTGCATAGAGCAGGGGGGCAGAATGAGGAGGCAGGTGCTGCGGGGCCCTGTTAGAGGGGCCTTGGGGCAGCCAAGCACAGCCATGCTTTATACCTGGGGATGTCTCTGAGGTTTCCTGCTCTCATGGGGCTGCCTATGCCCGGGCCCGGTGCACACCCTCAGGCCTGTCCCTCGCTATCCCCGGCAGGCAGCAGAGAGGCAGCCTTCGTCTACGCCATCTCCTCGGCCGGGGTCGTCTACGCCATCACCCGGGCCTGCAGCCAAGGGGAGCTGAAAGCCTGCAGCTGCGACCCCCTGAAGCGCGGCCGTTCCAAGGACGAGCGAGGGGAGTTCGACTGGGGCGGCTGCAGCGACAACATCCACTACGGGATCAAGTTCGCCAAGGCCTTTGTGGACGCCAAGGAGAAGAAGGTGAAGGACGCCCGGGCGCTGATGAACCTGCACAACAACCGCTGCGGAAGGACGGTGAGTACCAGGGTCCAGGCCCGGGCCAGCACCAGAGCCCGGCGACTGCAGCCGGCCCAGGCCACCACCCTGGCCCAGTCCACCACCCTGGGCCAGTTTGCAGCCTGAATTCCTACCCTGCAGGGCCCCTCTGCACCCAGCCTGGTGCCCAGTAGCCAGGCTGTTGCTGAGCTGTGGGCACAGAGGTTCACACCCCCCTCGGGCCGAGCACCTAGGGACAGCATGGGGCACAGGAACTGAGCAGCCGCTGTGCCAGGCCCCTTGCTGCAGCCCCAGTTGGCCACTGGAGCCTGGCAGGAAAGCAGCTTTCCTCCCCAGCCGGGCGCTCCGGGATGAGATGGCTGCCGGCTGATTCCCAGCCAGAGGCACTAACTCTCCAGTGGGGGGGGACCCCGATCCAGCCCACACCCTCCCCCACCAGCAGGAATGCCCTCGCCTGCCTGGACTTCCCGCCCTGGCAGTTTGCAGCACAGCAGTGCTAGTTTGGGGGGGGGGGGGGAGGGAAGGGGGCTGGGAACAGCACATCCAGCCTCCAGGGCACAACAGGGCCCCTGTGTTTGGGGTGATTCCCCATTTAACTGGGACTCTCTCAGAGGCATCCAGACTGGGGGTGCCCTCCCACCCCCCCTTGCTGAACTGCTTGCTTCCAAGCTCTTCTCTGCAGCAAAGAGCCCAAGCTCCTGCACCAGCAGCTAGTGCCGGGTCCCTGCAGACTCCGGGGAGCAGATGGACCCTGTGGGCCACCAGGGCCTGCAGCCCTCCCTGCAGTCCCACTGGCCTCAGGGAAGGCAGAGCCCCATGTGACATTCCCCAGGGTATAATCTGGACTGCTGAATAGCTGTGTCTCCTATCACACTGCTTTACTGGGGAGCATCCCCTCCTGGCCAGTTCACACACAGCCTCCAGCATATCCCTTGCTCCCAGCTGCACATTACTGAGTGCTACTAGCTGGCCACTCATAAATGACTCAGCAGAAGACCACCGGCAGATTCCTGGTCCCAGCCTTGTCCCCCAGAAATGTGCGTCTTGTCCAGCTCAGCACACGGCTGAACAATGCAAGCTCATAGAAAGTCCGTCATTTCATCAATGGAACATGAAATGCACCAACCTTGTGATCCCAAATGGAGTTTCCTACACACTTTAATCCAAGCACACTGGTTAAGATTAAACAATAAAATAAGTTTATTAACTACAGAAAGATAGATTTCAGAGTAGCAGCCGTGTTAGTCTGTATCCACAGAAAAAACAGGAGTACTCGTGGCACCTTAGAGACTAACGAATTTATTCGAGCATAAGCTTTCGTGGGCTACAGCCCACTTCTTCGGATGCATGTAGTGGAAAATACAGTAGGAAGATATATATATACACAGAGAACATGAAACAATGGGTGTTACCATACAC